CAACAATAAGTTTATCTGGCTCTGGTTAGTTTTGTGTTCGGGTTTTTGCTGGTGCAGTTTATCAAAGTACTGTATAGTTGCACCCAGTGACTCTTCAGACTTTGAGAAGTTGAAGTCTGATTTGGCTACAGTGACACATGCCTTAGTTACATCCTGGCTGGATTAGTGTAACACTCTATGTTGGATTGCCCACGGAAAGTGTCAGGAAACATCAGTGAGTCCAAAACACAGCAGCCAGATTGCTAACTAGGGCTAGACCCAGGGAACAAATATTACAGCAGCTCCATTGGCTGCTGATCTGTTTCCGGGCAGAATTCAAAGTGATGGTTCTAACCTATAAAGCCCTAAACAGCTTGGACCCAAGCTATGTCAAGGACTTCATCTCCCTTTATGAGCTTGTTCGAGCATTAGGATCTCCAGAACAGGCCTTTTTCTTGGTTTTCACCAGTGCATTTGGTGGAGACATGGGAGAAGGCCTTCTCTGTTGCTGCTCTCAGGCTCTGGAACTCCATCTCACAGGAGGCCTATGGGTACTCAGTGGACATATTTATTTGACTGTTTTTCTTCCAACAAGTTCAAGCCAGAATATTATCTCCCTATTTTTATCATCACAGCAGTTTTGCGAAGTACATCAGCCAGACTGTCAATAGTCCAAGGTCACTCCGCTCATGGTCAACTAGATTTGAACCTGGGTCTCCCAGTTCTAGTCTGTCACTAAGTATATGTATATGACTGCGCTGTAACAGTCTTTCAAATGTGCACTTTGTATTCTATTTAGAAGTTATTTTAAGGCTGCAATCTTATTATCTACTTAGAGCCATGAGACTCAGTAGGTCTCCTTCTGAGCAGTGGCAGTGGTAAATTTGGAAGTGAAGGTGTTCATTGTAGCAATTCCCATCATTACCTCCCCTCCTGCCCCCCTTGAGTGTCAAAAAATGCAGACTTCTGAACTGGTACATATGAGACCAAATCATCCACAAATATTTTTCATTACAGCATGTATAGCTTGCAAGAAAAAAACAACACATCCCATTACTGTAAAGATTTCACCTAAACTGATCTTCTTATTGTGAAGTAAGAAGATCAAAGAATTATCACTCGGCTACTTGGACACAGGACAAATTTTCTGTAACTGTGGAGAAATTCAATGAATGCAGCACTTATGTGCATGCAATTTATGTTCAACCATGTATACAAAGGAAGATCTAGCAAATGGACAAAAGATAATGCTACTGAAGTAGCCTACCTCTGGTCAAAAACAGTCTAATTATCAACATTTGAATTTGTTTTTCACTTTACCTATATTTCACATATATCCATAATTTTAAATTGCCCAGTGCTTTTATACAAATAAAGAGAGAAAGACCTAAATGGAAAGGCAAGAGAGGGCTGAGGGGGGCTGCAGATATTGCTGCAGCTTCTGGAGCTCAAGATTCCAGGACTTCAAATCTTTGGCGTCACTACAGTTCTGTTTTTGCAAAAAGGTTTGTAAGATTTCATTGTGGTGTGAATAGTCTCCAGATTAATCTTGAAAAACAGATCTGTCACAGTAGTTGAAACTTAAAATCCTGCATGGTTTTGACTATATTCAATGGCATGTTTGATGCTGTCATGCTGGTTAATTCAGCTGTAGGGAATATAACACTGAATTAATGGTGGTTTCAAATCTTTCAAATCTACCACGTACATGTGACCCTCTCCATTTTTTTTAGCTCTTTGTGTTCAGTCTCTCTCTTGTTTCAGTAATTATTTCAGTTATGTAAGCAGTTTCCTTGAGAAACCATGGCAAGCTGCTTACCCTGACACACCTTACTATTTCAGGATGGCTGAGAAACTAATCCGATGGCTTGGCTACATTGACTGATTCCAGAGAGCAAACATCATTTCTAAGGCATTAATTGTGTCTATCTGTGCTCTCTCTCTCTCTCTCTCTCTGTGTGTGTGTGTGTGTGTGTGTGAGAGAGAGAGAGAGAGAGAGAGAGAGAATGAATATTTAAAGAAGCTCTAGGCTGTATTCTGCATAATCTTTTTCGCCATTTGTACCTTTCGAAGGGGGGCGGGGCAGGTAGCTTTCTATACATCATTTTTAACCTGAGGAAATGAAGAAATGACTTCTGATCAGCATTGGTGCTGGAGTTAATTTGGAAGGGAGAGTCTTTTCATCTTGCTGGAGCGGTTGCAATCAAATCTACCGCTTTAGACATATGAACACCCCCTGTAGCTGCTAACAATATCATTAGTAACAGGAATGCATATGTTATATCCGTGTTTTGCCATTCTCTTCTGATGTGAATAATTTCAGTTGGCTAATTTATCTACTTATTTGTATTACACATTTATAAACAGGTTGTACTTGTTTCTCTGAGACAGTAGCCAGAAGGCTGTATTAAAACTTACACGTTTCATTTTCTTAAACCTTTGAGGTATTTCTGGTTCCAAGATTACCAAATTTTCCAGTACACAATGAGGTACTATAATCTTACACTGTTGATTAAAAACCCAAGATGGTACATTTTTCTATTATATGATTGTTTCTTAGAAATATAAATATATACTTTTAAAAAATCCAAACAGGTGATTCACATAAATACATTGCTCTATATTAGAGGAAAGCCGTGAGTTTTCTAGCAGTTTAATCCTGATATATGCAAATGTTTTATATAGCATTTACATGCCACTTATAACACAGGGGTGTACAATGTTCTGTAAATATATAAGAACACAAATACATACCCATAGTTTCAGGCACTCGTTTTATGGTAAATGGGTATAGGATTCCAGTTGAAACATAATCGGCAGAATCCTGTTGCTTTTAACTGCATGCAGAAGGGAAAACATGGAAGTTGCCAAAAGAGCTAATTGACAAGATGCTGGGAGTGTGACCAGCACATTACCAACATATGACAAACATCTTTTCAATTAGCTGTGATGAATTTCATGATTTTCCTTCTGTGTGTGACTAAAATGAACAGGATTCTGGGCATTTTAGCAGCTGCAGGTATAGTGAGATACAGTAACTAGAAAGTAAATTTTAATCTCAAAATAAAATAAATTAAAACAACCCTTCAATTTGAAAGGAGAATAAACTTCTGTCCAACTCCATCATTCTGCTCATGGAAGCTCTTTGTAATGGTGGAGGTTTCCAAGTGGAAGTGGTAGGTGGAGGAGTCATTATATGCTGTGAAATCACCTCTGACTTATGATGACCCTATGAATGAGCAATCCCCAAAATGCCCTCTCCTCAACAGCCCTGCTCAGATCTTGTAATCTGAAGGCTGTGGCTTCCTTGATTGAGTCAATCCATCTCATATTTTGTCTTCTTTCCCTGCTACTTTCAAACTTTCCCAGCATTATTGTCTTTTCCAGTGAATCTTGCCTTCTAATTATGTGTCCAAAGTTTGACAGCCCTCGTTGGGACAGTTAATTAATTCTGGCAAATTTTCCTGTTCTCTTAGAGGGCCCCCAGCCTTCTGGAGCAGATTTATCAGGGTTGCAGAACCCTATAGGGGAATGGAAAAATAGTGACAACACCTCCTTTTTCTTTTCATCCAGGAAATTTCTGCTGCATTTTATGAATGAAGGAATAGCACTTATATACAATATCACCTGGGCCCCAAAAGAATGGAAGTTATAAGCTATTGCCCCTTATTTTCCTCATTTTCATGCCTTTTAAGCAACGCAAAGGATCTATACCCTTGCATATTGTACCTCCTTTACCACCTTTCCTTGATTTTTTTTTAGCTCCAGCCTCCTTGCTCTACATGTTCAAACTCCACAGTCTCTGATAAAAAAGAAACCTCTCCATCTGCCTTGGGGTGCCAAGTGGTCCTGAAATAGGCATGTGATGAAATTGTGTCATGCTGAGAAAGTTCCTCCAGGGTTCTCCAACACCTTTTGGAGATCTCTGCTCTGGTATGAGACTGAGGTGCCAAATTCTTTTCATTTCATTGTGCCTTCTGCAGTTTCTCCATGAATTACATAACATTCCTGTTTGTATGCAAAACTTGCATTCCATTGTTTTGCGAGCGGGGTGGTGGCGGCGGCGGGGGGGGGGGGGGGCAACTACCCCTACAACAAGANGGGACAACTACCCATACAGCAAGCACAGCTGAACACATTATGTCCATGGACTGTGAAAACAAAAACAACTCAGTACTGTGTAAAACAACCCATTTTGTGTAAAAAGGCAAGAATTCAATTTTTTTCAGATATGTGCAAAAAACAAAACAAAAAAACTTTGAGAAGGTGCCCATTCCCCCCCCCCCAAGACAAGACAATCATGAACAAAAAGTACACCAATTTCATGTTGGATCATAGTGAGATTTTTCCAAAGTTCTTATTTGCAGCATTAGGACAAATCAAGTCAAAATTTACATCCATCCCCTGAAGCAGAATGTAAGTGAGAGTTAAGGATAAAGCAGAGCTTAGGAAGCTGACATAAGAATGTGGTACTAGGGATGATTGAAATACAGCTTAATATCACACTGTTATCCAGTCCTTCAGGATAACTTTGCAAATTAAACTGACCAGAAAAGATATCAGAGTAAAGAAATTTATAATAAAAGCAAACAGGGGAAGTCTCTGAAGGCTCTTATCTTGTGTGTTAAGGTTATCAAAGCCTCCAGTGGAATTTACTTCCCAAGTTTCTTGGTTCACTATATTTCTACAATACATATGAAAAGTGGGAAAAGATCAAAAGCTCCTTTAAAATGGGCTTTGATATTATTCTCTTTTGATAGACAGGATCAACATATGCTCATGATCAAGTACCACTGCACAGAGTAAATATCAAACAGAATATGAAAAATGAATCTGTCATTCTAATGAACCAGATTTCTTTTTTTGCACGATAAAGAACAGAACATACCCTGACATAGATCTATATACAGTATTTAGCAATTTTAGTACATATCCATGGACTTGTCTCCATAATTCTGCTATTTTGTAAAGGAAACCTGCTTAATTGCCTGGACATGGGACATGGAAGAGTGGGAGGGTAGGTGGGCATAAGCCCAGGAACATTCTTCAAAAGCATTCCAGCAATTTGTAAATATTGAAGAGTTTATTTCCACACCACATGGTTTCAAACAGACTCTTAAAACAAGACCAGTTACAGTTTATTATGCCCAGAGTTTTCAGTGCTTTCCCCCAAACAAGGGAAGATTTCAATAAACACTGTACATAGTAAGTTGAACTGTTTGAACAATTATTTAAAAATTCCTTTTTACAATCAATGAAAGAATACCAACATTAAAAGTACAATACAGATAAATTCACAATGATATAACAATGGAAGAGATTGAGACACACTGATGTGACAGTGACAGAATAATAGCAGTATGTACATGCACTAAAGTGCTAGCAACCTAGGGACATGCAAATCATGTGTACATGTGTATGTGTACAGCTCACTTCATTAAGACTGTCTGAGGCTTCCCCCTCTTTTCTAAACATTTCGTATTCCCTGGATTCTCCTCTAATATATTTAAGACACCTATAGTCAACTAGTTCAATGGCTTTCTTCACTACTTAAAAACTTACTATTTCAGACATGCTAAAGCACCTTTATGAATTTTCATTTTCAAAGTAACAACCAACTGAATGTGATTAACTTACAATTCTAATTTTAACTCAAAAAGAGTCAGAAAAAGAGCCAACAAAACCCAAACTGTAACAGTGCAAATATAACAGAAGGCAGTCAGTCGTCAGAGAACAAGAGAGTGAACACATTCAATTTCCCTTTAAAAAAATGTAAGTTTTATTTAAAACCTTACCTTTATTTGTATATCTTTTAGACCTTTTAGTTAATATACTGTATGTAGAAAAGATGGAGGCAAAAATAGTTTTCTGAGCTATGAAAAAAATAAGTTATTACAGGCACGTTAACTGTTTCGTTCTAGAAACATCTGTTTCTCAGGTCATACACTAAGCAACTGACCTCTGCAACTTGAGCTTTCTTCACTGACAGAGACTGGCCATGATAATGGTGCTACAATGCAAAAAAACAGTGAATTATTCTGTAATAATTCATGCAGACTTGCATCACTGGTTTAGATTCTCCAACGGCAGTTCTTTGCTTCCATACAGTTCCTCAGTTAACCGAGACAGTGAGGCAGTAGGGGAATGGGAAGCCCACCGGGAAGGCGGGCGCTGCTTCGCTGGTCTCTCTGGTCGGGAGAAGCAAGATTCTAGGGGTGGAGCTAGTGCAGAACATGGTAGTTCCTTTGTTGTAGGGGGAGGGAAACAAGACAAGATCAAAGTTAGCATTTAATATATTGCACCATGGAAGAAAAATGGAAGACTGTATCATAAAAGAAAATGAAAGTTGCATCTAAACATAGTTAAGGAATATATAAAGGGACAGGAAACCAAAGGGCCAGTATCCTCATTTTCATCATGATCTTAAATTTCCTTGATCTTGTCCATAACAATTCAAGCAAAACAAGAAAGAATGAGGTGAGGATTTAAAATGAGTTCATGCCACTGACAAATATTCACATGCTACTCTCCTTAACCACAGAATGAAAGGACTAAACAAAATTGGAGAAGAGTGTGACAGGACCTGCTCTGAATCCTGCCAATGGAACTTCAGGCTGTGACAGGCATGAATATTAAAGTTCAATAGGGGAAAGGGAACTTGAAACGTCTCTCTACTCTTTTTTAGTCAAACTTTTTTAGCTGTTTTTTCCCCTCTTTTTCTTCCAGTTGTGCTAACTTCTGGACTAGGGCTTCCTGTTGGAAGAAACATGAGTTTTAAAAGTAGTTTGGAAGAAGAGTTCGAGTAAATAAGGGAGAGTTCAAACATCCCATCTCATATGCTTCGATTTGCACTACATAAATTCATCATCTGATAAAGATTCAGTAGCAAATCAGTGTCCTAATGTCATACTTGCCTTGGCCTGAAGTATCTGCATATAAATACAGTATAATTATGCTACTTGGATTTGTTTACATTTTTTATCATTCTTATACACACTGTTGCACACACAGCTAAACATGTGGTTTGAGGCATTTCCAATACGTGAAGGGTCATCTAAGTATCTGAAAGAAATTCCCAAGAATGCCAGATGGTTGCATTTACTATTGAATGGATAAATGGTAAACCCTATTTAAACCTGTTCAGAACATCTCTCTTTAAAACTATTATCTAATCTTTAATGGAAAAGCACTTGATAAACTGTGAGTTCTCAGTGTTCTAGAATTTAAAACTAATCTGAACCAAGTACAAACAGGTTTGTAGGGTTTGTTAAGCAATATTACTGACTTGAAGCAGAACCTGGGCAGACTTGGAGCGAACCGGAAGACTTGAAACAATGTAAGTTCCTGACAAGAGTTCTGGGGTTTTTAGATCCATCCCCAAGGCAGTCTGTCTGTATAGAGACAGCCTACTGCCCAGCAGAGATTTTATTCTGCAATGCAACTTATTCTCTCTACCAACTTAAAATAATTTTCCACCTGGTTTTGCCCTTCGTCTTAATGACATTTGAGTATATGGGACCAGAATCATGGACTACCAGTTTACCAAACCATTTTTGAACTGAGCTTTCTAGTAGCTGATTTGATTGCAAGGAGCTCCAAAAATAAAGGAGCTTTTAAACTAAATGCCTATTAAATATTCTGCATTTCATGCGTCACTTTTTCAAACTAAAGGCTATGATTTCCTTTTCTTAGTTAGCTCATCTCATGTTCATGATTCCTCTTTTCCTACTTCCCCATGAATATTTACAGCATTGTCTTTTCCAGTGAAACTTCCTTCCCGTGATATATCTGAAGTGCAATAAGTACAATAGCCTCAATTCAGTCATTTTTTCTTCTAGAGAGAATTCAGACTTCAACTGTAGCCTTCAACTCTAGCATTCTTTTTTTCCCAGCAGTCCACTGTATCTGCAATTGTCTGGCCCCTTGCAAAATTCTGTGACTAAAGCAGGTCTTTGCATGATAAAAACCTAAAAGCTATTTCTGAATGCAAGCAGCTCCAAACAGTGCCAGCCTTAGACTTCCTTTTCACTTGACATGAAAAATCCAAACCAATCAACCTCCAGCTTCAACTCCACAGCTGTTGACCTTCAGTTCATATTTTGGAAGACTTGCATGCAGATCAAAGCAAGAGACAGAAAACTGGCTTTGAAATCTATCATCTGAGCTACACTACTTCAGTTCGCAAACTGGACCCAGGCCTAATGAACATGACAATTTCAGTAGTGGAAAAATAAAATACAGCTAAAATCCTTCTTGAATTTCGAGTAAGCATCTTCAGTTCTAGCTTTCCACACTGGCAGTTGATTTTGGAACAGAGAATGGCCACTAACTATTGTAGCAATCTTTGTGACGAAAGACCTCGCTGTGTGATCTGACAGAGAAATAGTTTGTGTTTTGGACAGTTTGTGGCACAGTCTAGTGCAGACAATTTCTAGTGATCACATAATGCACAGGATATTATAAACCAGCCCGACCCTGCTCCATGGCCAAGCTGGATGTTTTTGGTTTAGCCTCCAGGGCTACTCTTTTTCGGAGCTAGTTGGAAAGATTCCTATATGGATGGAAGGGTCGCTTTAATGGCAATCACTCCTAGGGAAGTGATCCTTTCCACCATGATCAAACATGGTCCTTTCTCACTGTCTGACCACACCTCAGTTGTAGAACTCCTGCCGAAGGTCAAATTGACTCCGTCCTTGCTGAGCTTCCAGCAGGTGGTTAAAACTGTACTATCCAATTTCATTTTGGGGTTTAAAACTGGCTTTTACAATTATTTTTTAAAAGATTATTTGCATTATTGTAATTTACTCCTGGGGTCTTAGAGGGCAAGGAAATTAATAACAGTAATAATAGTAGACTTCCACCCAAACTGGAAAGTGTTTCACACAGTTTACATTCCAGCGGCTAAGCACAAGATGTAAAGTTGCCACAGCACAGGATGATAAAACCTCTCAGTTTTGCACTTTGCACCTCTATAAAATAAAAAAGCAAAAGAGTGCAAATATTGTTAATGCACAGAAGAGAAATGCACACACTGATGGTTCAGTTATGGTACAGGTGAAATGTTTCACATGATATGGAAGTTTACTTAAATTCAGTCAAGTGGAATACAAACATTTGGAATTATACAACACATAAGAAGAGTTATGAGATGAGAAGACCCAAACACCCAAAGCAAATGGAGTGCCAGCTTTACCATATTAAGGCATTAATATAGAGCAAAGAACATATTGTAAAAGGAATGCAGCCTATTGAGCCTTCTGTTATTAGAGGAAACTAATGCTGAACTGCAATCCAAACACTCAACCAAAATTCTAACTTTGTTTGGAAACAAGCCCCACTGAATTCACTGGCACATATTCAGAGGTAATTTCATCTGGGATGGCAACTTCAGAGAACATAGAGAAGAAGAAAGATGAACCACAGAGACAGACAAGGTGTACAACAGATTAATGTCACACACTAAATTGGGTGTGGGGGGAAGGGAGAGAAATTATATTTGTAAAATTCTCCTCAAGAAACCTTGAGGTGCAAGCCTTTTACCTATAAAGAGGCAGGGGCTGTCAGAACACTGTGTGTGCAAGATTGAAAGTCATTTGATGCATATTCTACATTTCGTTCACATGCGCTTGTCTTAAAACTCCAGGCCTCTAAATATGGATAAAATTTCTCTAGCACTAAAACAACATAGATATAAAATGTTATGCTCTGACATAATGTAACAATTACGATTTCAAGCTAGCATTATAAAGCAGGAACACTTTCAGTAAATGGCAGCACTTATGATAAGATTATTGCACTATTTCTGCTCTGGAACCTTAGGAATAGGCAGTTAATAATTGAAGAATATGTCTCTACTCATGGGAAGACCCCTAGCCACAAAAATGTTAAAATGCAGGTGCAATGTATGATACACTAATACTGTCATAGTGTGCAAACTTTCTAACAGAAATTCCAGATACAGGTAGCTGAAACATACTAAATGACAATGCATTTTCCAGACTGAAATGTGCAGCTTGAGTTACTCTTGGCTATGCTGACTTATTCTTGAACATAATAAAGGTAAATCTCATTATTATACACACCTCTTATTTTCATCAGCCTTTTATCACACCTGTAATTGATGGAAAACTTTGGTACATTCTGGAAAAGTTACTCTTGTGTTCTACAGTTCTCAGAATCTCTAGTCAGCCATGATGGCTGGTAGCTTCTGGGAGTTATAACCCCAAAAGCAATTTTTCAAACTCTGAAATTCACCCTTCTTTCTTCTGAACTCTATACTTCTGCACACAATGCACTTCAATTATGAGCACACATACATGAGCACACAAGGTTACATCTTATTTCATGATAGGTAACCTTTGGCCATAGTAACATGTCAGACTACTACGTAATGAGTCTTGGCTAGAACACTGAATAAACCAGTTGTTCCAGTCCGTCCACTTTAACAGGCATGTACAGCATTGCAAGGTCATGTGAGCATTTCCTGTAGCAGAGGTTAATATGTTATTTAATGCAGAGATAAGCACATTGCTTGCAATCAGCCTCTGAATCAGCACAGCTTAGTGTTTCCCACTTCTGCCCTGCTGAAAATCATTTATGAAGGGCAAAAAAAAAAAACAAAACAAAACATGGTGACATGCACCAGAGCAACATGATTGGCTAAGGCATCTCAATGCGCACATTACATGTTTAAGGAAACACACCACCCTTTTACAGTATGTACTCAAAATCACACTGAGGTGCATGCAGCAAATCAGCCTACTGTTTAGAAGCAAAATTGCCTTGGATTATATAATTATCACTCTGGTTTACGTGATTTTTGGTTTGGTGTCAGAATAAAATAATTAAACTTACCATGTCTCACAAATGAGTGAGGTAAGTGGGATATAAATGATATTAGGTACAGTATTAAAATGATATAATACTGATATAAAATGATAGAATTTATTATGTCAGATCTCATTAGAATGTGGAAACTTTCCATTCCTTTTATATGGAATCATCAGAGATAAAATTACATTTCCTTTCTTCTTTGTTTGCTAGGTGCAAACAATGTAAACAAGTGACAACATTTCAACACTACATCAATTTCTTCTTTATCACTGGATGTACTTCTGCAAAGTTCTGTACCATCTAATCTGAGTAATGGCAAATAGTCCAATGCTTCTTGGAGGATGTAAACAAAACAAGACTGACCACAATTTTATCTCCCACAGGGGTAACCCACTTTCCTGCATTTGACA